TTTCCACATTTGTCCCCTTCTTTATAGTAATATTTTTTATTGTTATCTCTGGCAATTTGTGTTTGTTGGTCCAGAACAATGCGAATGTCTCTTATCACCTCATGCAATTGGGTGGAGTACTCTATATTGGTAACAAGCGCCTTATTCAGGTCCTCCAACTCACTCAATCTCCGAAATAAGCCCTCTAGCTTGCTTGCCTTCTCTTTCTTTAACCTGGAGCCATGTTTGACTAAAATACCTCTAACAACACATTTTAAAGCCTCCCATTGTATGGGAATAGATGTGGGGTCTTTTTGATGGTCTTTTATAAAGTTCTTTATTGTGGATTTTACTTCCTCTTGACATTCTATGTTTTTTAAGAGATTATCATTTAGCCTCCAGGTTCCCCTCCCACTATTTCTGTTATCTGTTGTAAATGTCAGAGTTACTGGTGCGTGGTCGGTACATAGAATCGGGCCTATTTCAATTTCTGGGTCGAGATCTAGGAGTCTCTGGTGCATCCAAACATGATCTATTCTACTGTAAGATCTATGCACTCTAGAAAAATAAGTATAGTCTCTCTTTAAGGGGTATAATATGCGCCAGCCGTCAACTAGCCCCAATCTATCCATTTTGGTTCTGAGTTTTTTTAGCATCTTTACCGAGATAGGTATCTTACTTGTGGTATCTAATTCTGTGTCAAAAGTTAAATTCATATCCCCCATCACCAATTATGTGCCAATACCATATATCTCAAATCTATTCAATATCTTTATACAAAAACTTGTGTTGTCCCTTGTTCGGTGCATAAATATTTGCCAGTGAGTACATTTGGTTACAATACAAAAATGTCATAAAAATATATCTCCCTCAATCATCTAATTCTGTGTCTTTTACTTCAATTGCTAAATTTTTATGGATTCCTATCGAGACCCCCTTAGCTTTAATTTCTGGGTTTGTGCTATGATACCATTTAGTGTAGTATTTATTCCTTATCTCTGTATGTGCCCCCTTCTTAAAATGTGTTTCTTGGATACACAAGATATCCATCCTTTTTTTATGTGAGTGATACAAAATTTGTGAACGTTTTTCTGGTGTATTAAATCCTCTAACATTGTAAGCTACTATTGCTATACTATCCATACCCATGTTGTATATATTGTTCAGAGAGAGTTATGCATAAAACCTGTTCAGAAACATACTCTATACCACAAAACAGTTTCCACCATCCATTCCATCCTATCATCCCTTTTTTAAACCATGTATATCTTTCACTCCCTTTTGTTCTCAATACAATTGTTATGTTCTTGTATACAGGATGGAACCTTTTCCTCACCCATCCTACATAAACCAACCAAGAACAAGCCCAAAGTAGAAAAATATGACCCCATAAGAGGAGAGAAAACAACAACAAACAAACAAAACAAAAATCATATAAATTCACATTTCTCCCTCCGTTAATTCAATTGGGGTTCTAATGTTTAACTACTGTCCACCCCTGGCTTTGTATGTCTTCAATTAAGTTTAGCTCTACTGGCCAATCAGGTAAGTGTACTGGGGGTATATCCTGCGGTACATGTCATTGTTGGGTAACAAGTTTTCTGCTTCATTTCTCTTTTGGTAGCCTGGTTCCATAGGTGTTTGTACTTCCTTTGCATCTTGCATATAGAATTGTTCCAAAATGTCTGCAATTTTCTGACTTGTTTTAGTTTGTGAACTATGTGACTATAGACCCCTTCTTGTTCTAAAAGGTTATAATGTCATCAGCATAAATTAGAATGTATATCCATCTGTCTTCTTAATTCCTGGAATAAAGACAGGGGTCTGCTTTGCTTCTTGTGAATCCCTCTTTCGTGAGTATTTCATTCACTTTCTCATTCTACATTCTTGCAGTTTTTGTAATGCAGTCCACATACCTTTATTTGTATTTTCTTCTCTTATGTGGATAAGGTGGTCGTCTTTCACTAGCAGACTTATAATTGCTTTTGCTTGCCTGTTCTTCTTGCCCATTCCTCCGTGGGTCCTTTACTCAATACTTGCCACAAGTCATCTTTGCTTAGCAGCATTTCAAGCTTGAACTTCCATAGCTGGAACTACTTGACATCTTTCAGTAGCTTGAATGTGGCTTTTGTTGAATTGCAGTGTTCTGTTTAGCATCTGGGCCCATAACCTGTTTGTGTTTAGATGAAGAGCTGAGATCTGGAGAAATGCTGAATTAAGTTTTACTTATAAGAACATTATATCAAAATATAGCATTATACAGCATACAGAGAGAACTTCCTGTGTATATCATAGATAAACATGCATAAGCATAGAGACTAACATCTACAGCGCCATCTGTAGCTCAAAAGACAGTAGAATATCAGTAATATGCCGGTGTATTTCCAACAATGTCAGACCCCTGCAGTAAGATCCCTGCTTCCCCACAGAGAGCAAGGATATCACTTTGCAGCATGCTCTCAGTGAACAGGCTTTTCTACCCAGGTCGTGACTGTTTTAGAAACAAAAGGAACTATGAAACATTGAACACCTTTGTTTTGGTGCACCTGGAATATACTTAGTGGATTTAAACTGAAGGTAAAGTGATTTTAAAGGCAAAATGTTTTTAAGCTACTTCAAATTCTTATTAAATAACTGATGTTTGAAAGTTTTATTTTCCCTCAGAATCAGCTGGTCTCCTGAGCATTGGCCCTGATATCCTCTTTTAGGGGGGCTCCTTCCCCTTTCAGGGTCCTATGAAGCCAGCTTTGTGTGTGCTATTAAGCTGTGTGTGTCTCCACCAATCACTTGTTTGCCTGATGAAGGGGATCCTGTGAGACCCGGAAACGTTGTATCTTGTGTTTTGCATTTGCAACAAGTACGTGAATAAATAGATGTAGTGGATTTGCTTTGGAGTGCCAGTGTCCATCCTTTACTTATACCTTGATGGAAGCCACCCATTGACACCTGCTGCCACCACTTCTTATCTCATGGAGCAGCGGTTCTGAGTGCGATGGGTACACGCACTGTATCCACCAACACACAGACACAGCAGGGCAAGCCAATCCCCTGCTCCCTGCTCTGCCTTCCTCCCTTCTCCAAGCTAGTAGATGGACAGTTGCTGGAGACTGTGCTGTCTTTTATGATCCTGTACTGAACAGGAAGTTCAGGGAAGCTGAGCTGAGAGAGTTAGAGCCAGCCGTTGAGAACATGATGATTGTAAGTGCTTAAGCTAAAAATAGGGAAATAACGTGCTAGACAATGTATTTTTGTTTAATCTGGATTTGAATTATTGACATAAAAAAATGTAAGAGTTTAGTTTTCTTTTAAAACCCAAATTAAATTAATATTAAAGTTCAGATGCTGGCAGGGTCCTTTAGTGCGTAGACAGCCATTTTATTGATTTATTTGTAATAAGCTACACTTGTTCTTTAGGCCTTGATTGATCTATATTATTTTTCCAGTGTGTTAAAAATTCACTTTATTAAGCATTTCAGAAAACCCGTCTCTGTCACTGTAGTTACATATAGAGCCAGCTATATCAGCCAGAAATGCACACTCGCTACCATGCCCTCTCCGTATCTCCTTCCTGTCCCCTTTCCGCAATGCCACTCCTATCCTCCCTATCCCCTCTTTATAATTCCGCTCATTGTCTCCACTCCTTCTCACATAGTGCTGCCCATCTCTTTTATCGCTCTTTCTATGGCGCGGCTGTTTTTTTTCTACCTCCCATCTCTAAAGCCCCCTCTCTTCCTTCCCACTCCTTCTTCCCATTACAAGAAGCATTAATTCGAGTTGTTAAGAAACTACACGTGTATAACATGTTAAGGCTAGCAATATATACTTCTACAGGGTAGGATGGAGAATAAGAAACCTGCCAGGCAAGAATTGTAATGTCTGTGTTTATAAATGTAATTAGGTTTTACTGAGCAATGTTGTAATTTGTGATTTTATGTTTCAATGAAAACAATAAAAACTTTTGAAAGTAAAGAAGCATTAATTCACTGGAAAGACAGGGATATACAAGTAAGCATCCGTAATATCCATAGAAGCCAGACAGTCCCCTGGATGAAGGGAAGCAATGACTGACCTGGCAGATTCGATGCAGAACGTCTGCACCCAGAGACAGGTGAATACGTTCGACTGCAGGTCCAAAATGGGGCAGATGTGGCCTTTCACCCAGGCGTCGGTAAATGAGTTTGAATGGAGCCGCTGAAACCTTTTTCTTTCTGCAACAATGGTTATGATCCTCTAAGAGAGGAGCTGCTTCAGGACAGCAAAAAGGTCTGCCTGCCCCCCCTTTCTCGGCTCATTGGTAAGTTAAACAGGAGGTATGGTGGAGGCGAGGCTAAAATTCCAGCTTGTAGCCTCTGGACACCACATTCTGGACCCGCCTGTCTGAAATGTCATGGGACCAGGTGACTGGAAAGACCAGCAGACATATCCCCACTTTAATAAATGGGGGAGTCCACTTATTGGTAGAACTAGATCGTGAGTTGGGAGGGAGTTTGGTGGGAATCACATTAAAGTAAATGGTCCCCGTGACAATGCTCACCCCATTAATCATAGTGGTCTTAAAGTGTATATGAACTCAATTTGATATATTGCAACTTACCTGTGTAGTCATTCAAATGTTTTAGGTTGATTTTAATGCAACTATCTGATGTTTAATTAACTGATGTTAACCAATAAAAATTGTTAAATATTTGGGTACATTCCTGTAATTTTGCATTGATATAATTTTTGTTGATGACCTACATAGAGGCCTTTAAGTGATAAATAAATAAAAAATCAACGTCCTTTGGGATACTTGGTGGCACCTTCCATGTTTCTGCTATCACATTTTTGGCAAATGTTTAGCTTTAACTTTACGTAAATAGTCCAAGTGTCCTTGAATAAGAAGGCACAAACATATCTGCTAAATTCAGTGTATGAAACATATGTGAATACTCCCACCACATGTGCCAAGAACTCTCCCTTATAAAACAGGGGCTCACAGAGGCTCTTCATCTTCTCAGAAACAACTCATCCACTCATCCAGAATGTTGAAGCTCCTTTTACTTGCTGCATTTGTCCTCTGCGGTAAGATTCAATACCTTTTAGAGAAGATCTATTAGAGTGGAACTAAGCCTACCACATAGCTTCCATCTAACCTGATTATACCTTGTTTTTGTGGTTCCCTACTTGTTTATTTCATTGCTTAGTATTTGTGTCCCTCATGCTTGACAGTAGCAGATCACGGGATCTGGGCTTTCATATTAGAAGGCTATTAAAACAACTCTGGCAAAAAAAAATTAGTTCAGCATGAAGTAGAGAAGGGTTACAACCAGATCTATTTTTTATTCTTGTCGGAACCCTTTTAAAAGACAGGAAGTTATGGGAACTCTTTGTAAGTTATGGTTAGAACTTCAATACATGAAATATTAAAATACATGTTTTTATTATTAGCCATGAGCTAAAATATCCAGATATACATGTGCATGTACATATGTACAATATATATTAGAGGTGCACCGAAATGAAATTTTGAGACCGAACCAAAAAATAAAAACAATGTCAGACCGAAACCGAAATTTTTTTTTTTCGAACCCTTTAAAAAATTGTTATTTTATTTATTTATTTACTTCTGTATTTATTTTTATTAAATATTTTTATTTTTTACTTTATTGTTGGGGGCTTCGGGGAAATATCAAGGGTCTAAATAAACTCCTGATATTACTCTTTTACAATACAAACAGAGATTGAGGACACCGAGTCCTCAATCTGTTTTTCTGCCGCTCCAGCACTGAATGAACAGGAAGCCTCTATACTGAGTGTTCCTGTTTATGCATAACTTGTGGATATAGTATGAGTTACTATGTACACAATCATGAATGAAAAGGAAGTGATGTAGATCACTTCCCATTCATTCATAACTGGTACGTAGTAACTCATACTATGTCCAGTTATTTACAAACATTCAATGATCACTGGTTGCTGACTGCTTGTACCGTTCTCCATCCTGGATCGGATGTTACAGGACGCTGAGTGGGCGGTGTGGGGAGGAGAGCTCGGTCTCATTTGACAGCTGACTCCTCCCTCTCACCGCCAGAATCGGTCTCCGGTGACAGTTGACAGCTGTCTCTGCCCACTCACCGCTCTCCTGATCTGTTACAGGAGGCTGAGCGGGGCAGTGCGGAAGGAGAGCACAGCCTCCCCTGAAATGCTCACAGCGCTCTCCTCCCTAACCTGCTCGGCTCCTGACTGTTTCTCTCCTCCTTGCTGGATGCTGCACTGTGTCAGAGGGGACACAGAGCAGCACCCAGCAGGAAGGAGAAAAACTATGGATGCACCACAATTTCGTCCGAAAGATGGCACTTTCGGCATTTTGCCCAAACTGCCATTTTCAGCCAATATGTTTTGGCAGCCGAAATTTCGGTGCATCCCTAGTATGTATAGTGCAGAGGAAAACTTTTGGTAAAAGTGTTATTTTGATAGATATCTGTACATCAGACAGAAAGAGGGATAGAGGGGTTTAGTTCCAAAGGAGGGACAGTCCCTCCAAATGAGGGACAGTTGGAAAGTGCTATGCGGTACCAGCAGAAGTTAAGGTAAGTATATTTTCCTTCAGGTTTTCTTTAAGGAGCATTTTTATAAAAGTGAGCGACCCTAGGCACATTTACATGCCTGAATGCGCCTACATTCTCCAACATTTTGCCAGTATTCCTTATTTTGTGGTGCCAGGTCATGGGGCTGGAAGAGTGTATATGGATTTAGACTTCAGAGCAGAATAAGTGCAACAGATTCAAATGAATAGGTAATGACTAATAAAATCCACAATGTAATCATTAAAAACATTAATCATATATAAAAAAAAGTTACTGAAACCTGATTTTCCTATTAAAGAATGAAAAGCTTAGATGTTGGGTATTTGTGATAAATAGCTTTTTTTAAATATGTAATTTTTTTCCACAGGACATTGCAATGGAGATGTTCAGTACATTGAGGACATTGAGGAGAGTGCACGTGTAGTGGGAGGAACCAATGCTGTCAAAAATGGATGGCCATGGCAGGTAAGATAGGAGATTTTATCAAATGGTGTTTTTAAATCTGTAAAAAGCATCCCATTGGCAGACATTATAATCTTGAAATTTAAAAGAGCACTTTAAATAATTGAGTAAATTAAAATCTAGCACCAAAAATGTATGTGTCAACAGCATGTTAATATGTTAGTATGCAACCCTGGTCTGTAGAATGTAAAAGAAGAATATGTATATAATAAATACTCCCAAACCAAGTCAGTAAATATTGACTGAACACCTGTGTAGCTGAATTGGCCCCACTATTGTGTCAAATCCTTAGCTAAAGATACATTGTTAGGTATACCAAGCTTATCAATGACCTCTGCTTTCTGATTCCCAGGCTTTTAAGACTTATACATTCTTGTAGATTTTAGAACTGACCAATTTATTGTACCTCCATTTTCTGTACTATTCCTTCAGTTATTATACGAACTTCAGCTAAGTTTTTTTCTAGTTTTGGATAGAATGGGGAAGGATTAGCACCTCTAAAGGGAAAGCAAGAGTGCAACACCAAAGACTCAGTAGCTTAAAATAATTTATTTCATCATAGAAGTCTAAAGACAACAAGTCGATGCGTTTTGTGGACTAAGCTAAGACTTTAAAAAATAAAAATGTCTCATGTACAAAGTTACTTACAAATTATACATATAAACAAGGTTTTATATACAATAATATACCTCATTCAGGTATATATCATAAAAAAAACATTTTAAAAAGACTGTAAGTCCCCTTTAAAAAACATTTTGAAAACTAATATGGTATTGTTTACACAAGGTCCATCATTATCTTTTTTACACCTCTAGGTATCTCTCCAGTATATTTCCGGAAGCAGCTGGTACCACACCTGCGGAGGTACCCTAATCCGTGCTAACCGTGTCCTGACTGCTGCTCACTGTGTGGACAGGTAACCAACAGCATTGCTACATAGAGTTCATTGGTCAGTAGTTAGCAGAAAATAAGTTGCACTGGAATAGGGATAAAACATGAGGTGGCAAAATGTTGTGCAGGAGCACAATAAACAACCTAGTCCCTGAAACAACACAATACAACAATAATAAATGTCAATTAGAAGATGTCCAGATACAAGATGGGTAGACTGACATATGGACTTATTATCAACCTCACTTTACTTTCTGTGCTGAAGTGTTTGGTGGTGCTCAGACCATGCAACAGCCATTCTAGATTGCTGTGAAAAAGAGAACAAGTCCTGTATTCACTACTTGTTTAAAACTCTTATTTTATTTATACGCACCCTAAAAAACACCAGAACCGGCTGTATGTTTATAGGCCCAAACATGATTAGCACAGCTCACAGGCAAGTATGACCAGATGGTGGGTGCTAACAAATTTAGGACTGGTTGTTGTTAGTTAAAGACGTGAAAAGTTTGTTGGAAAATACTGGCTCATTATCATTTCCAACCATCTCATTCTTCTCTCTTTTTTGGTTTCTTGTTTTGTTACTTTTTCTCATTAGTGTGTTTGCAATTCCCCCATTTACCTAAAGGTTTTTACTTCTGTGGCACCCTTAAGAGAGATTTTCCATCACTTCCTGTGCCGCTGACATTGTTTATCAGACAAGGGAACTCTTCACCAGCTCTGAAGATTCATACATAAATATGTTTTACTAATAGTATTAGTAGTGGAGGGAAGGCTAGAACTCCTGCCAGACATTTATTTCTGTCTGTGTCCCTGTTGCAGATGTTCCTTCACTTTCTGTCTGGTGAAACCATTGTTAGCAAGACAGGAAGTAAGGATAAACCTCATCAATGGAGAACAGAAATCTTATTTCCCAACTTCTTGATGGGGAAGAGGGACAACGTTAAGGGTGTTGTAGACAAAGGGTGTACCGCTGTCACATCAACAATTACACAGACCACAAGGATTATCCCCTAAATATTATTAGTCAAACCCACACGTGTTTTTTCACCATTACTTTTCTTTTAAGCAAGCTTTTAGAAATAACAAATAAAATCACTTATAGCTTAATTGAAAGCTTTAGTTCAGTATAACACATTTGATAGGTAAATAATAAATAGTATTTTTATAGAGGTCTTTATGCCAAAAAGAGGGACAACTGGGAAGAAATGAGGGACAGAGGGATTTAGTTCCAAAAGAGGGACAGTCCCTCTACATCAGGGACAGTTGGGAGCTATATGGATAGCAGTAAAAACCCAACTGATACTTCCACGCTCTATCTAAAAATGTTTTGCTTGACATTCATGCATTAGCACAACTTGACAAGATCAGGACAGGACTGTGCCCTGTGGCTGCCATAAGATTTTTGTTAAGGATGTTGTGCTGCTGCTTTATAGAGCTGTGGCTGCATGTGTGACAACTTTAAATGCCACACACAATAATTATTTACTTACTTATTTGGTTACTGGTTTCGGAATGGCAGGCTAATTAGTTTTGTGAAGGCACTCAGTAGGCTCCCTGGGTTTAACCTGAGGGCCATAGCACATGTGGTGCCATTTTGAATGTGGCTAGCCATACACACATTGATTTAACTCATTGAGCCCGCAGACTCAACAAGAGAAATTGAATACATCCCTCCATCCACACGGCTGTCTGAACACATGAACAGTGGCTGCATCTGACAGTCACTGTTTGGCAGACAATTTTCCACCTGGGTACTTTGATTTTTCATTCGAGGTTTGTTGAGCCGGGTGGTGCTGTCAGGGCCACCCACTGCTCAAACATTGGCCAAGTCTGTAGGAATTGGATGAAATTCAAGTTGTGTAAGGACAGCTTATGGTTTATATAGTGTGCGAAACACAAGCAGCCTTGATAATGTAAAGGTTCATCTGGTATGAGGAAAAGGCCGATGTCTCATGCAAACAGTATATGTTATTATGTGTAATACATATGCATATTATAGACAACCAGATTTTTTTGTATACTTTTAATTTTATTGAATTGACTTTCCCTTTGACTTTATTTAGGGTAGCCACCTATCGTGTGGTGTTGGGAGATCACAACCTTAGCGTAAACGAAGGAACTGAACAGGTGATCTCTGTTTCTGCAATACGCATTCACGCTTCCTGGAACACCAACAATGTCGCAGCTGGGTAAGAGCCAAGTGGACAAATTCTAAAACAATAATTCTGTTTGCCATCTAAATATCACATTTCATGTACATCATTTACTCTGCATAATACACAAAGCTAAGAATGGTTGAATGTTAACAGTTTAGTTAATAAAAATGTAGTTCAATCAGAGCATTTTATAATATGAATGTTTAGAATAGATAACGTTTTGACATGAAACTGGTGCTTCAGTTGGAAAGAAATCTTGATGTCACCTAACATAATCCTATACATCTGCAGAACGTGACTAGAGCATGAACGCAAATATGCCGTGCACTATAATGAGAGCAAGAGGCACCGCCACCACCAGGAAGGTGACAATAGATTGAAACATTAAGGTTTCTGGTGTTACTATTGTTAAAGCTGAACCCCAGGCTCCAAAGAGTATGTATTTCTGTCCATCTAGTTGACCTAAGAGTTATGTTGCTCTCTCACACTGCACAGCCCTGTCTGCAAGGGGAGGACATTTTATTTTTCTCTGCTACAGTTAAGTAACACTTTCAGGTCTTGTCCTTCACCCAACCTATGACTGTACAGTGAAAGGAGAAGTAGCAGATCAATTAGCTCACTGTCACTCTGCTCTCTCCTCTTATCAGCATGCTCCTTCTTAGAAAATGAGGACTGCCGCGCAACTATTATGCTCTTTGTACTGCTTCTGCTTCTCCCAGTCTGGTTTCTGCAGTATATGGGTTTGCAAGAGGGTGATACCAAGTTAAATTTAGATATGCTTACATTTACAATGCTTGCATTAAAGCATACAGAGCTATTTTCATTTGTGATTTTTATTTCAGCTTAGAGTTCAGCTTTTAAAAAGTAAATATGTTAACAGGGTAGCAAAGTTTAGACTGCATGTGCACTGCAGACTTGGCAGGTATGTGGTAAAACTAAGTGCTTAGTTTGCTAAGTTGAAGTCCAACTCTAGCCAAAACTTTTATTTTTGGCTGAAGTTCTGATGTGTTGAAAGGTCCCCTCCTATGTCTTAAAGGGTTATTAAACCCTCGCATGTTTTTGCATATATCTAATGCTGGCAAGCAGTAGATATATGCAAAACGATTAAAAAAACGTTTTCAAAGGGTTAATACTTACCTACCTACTTGCCTCCGCCGCGCGCTCCTGTCCGAACATCTGAAAATTTCTCGGGCGGCCGCAAACGATCTTGGGGGGCATGCACACTTCAGATGTTCGGCCGGGAGACGAGGAGAGACACAGGGTAAGTCTCTGGAGCAGTGTGCACCCGCACAGACTCTGTGGGACATGAGAGAAGAGGAGGACAGAGGAGGCAGCGCTGGATCAGAGACCCGCACCAGCGCTGGAGGGACAGCTAAAAACTACAGGAAAGAAGAAGGAGATCGGATTAAGAGGCATAATTTACGGTAAGTCCTTACATTAGCACTGTGTGTGTGTAGTGGGGGGGGGGGGGACTTTTGCCCTTAATGTCACTTTAACTGCTGTCTGCTTCCCTGTTGCAGAGATGCCCCTTCACTTCCTGTGTGGCCCCTGGGACCTGAAGTGAGCAGAATCTTTCAACAGAGAGCACAGATTTTAAAAAAAAAAAACTTTTTTTTCTTACAGTGCAGAAGACTCAAAACTCCTGCCAGGATTTTTATATCTGTCTTTGTGTCCATTTAACATTAGTTCATGTGTAGTCACAAGGACAGGAAACAAAGGGGAAATATACTAGTAAGGCCACAGACAGCAATAAAACCCCAATAGAGGTTTTATCTTTTCAAAGCTGTATCTAAAACTTAAAAAAGAAAGCTTGGTCACTGTATTTAACTTTGTATTTGTTATACTTTGTCTGCAGTTTCGATATTGCCATCCTCCATCTGGCCTCCAGCGCTTCTTTGAACAGCTATGTACAATTGGGTAGTCTGCCAGCTAGTGGCACTGTCCTGGCCAACAACCACAACTGCGTCATTAGTGGATGGGGAAGAACCTCCAGTAAGTTGTCTGAAAAACAGGTTCACAAATGATAATATGATGGATATTGTCCCATCCTAGGTTTACCATTACACTCAAGGTGCATAACATGATTTTTTTCCTACAGCTTGAATACACTACAAACTTTTTTTTTTTTTTTTTACTGGGCCATTTAGACAAATGTTCCCAGCAATATGAAATAGACGATTCAAATGTCAGGTACCAAAGTGTACTCAGCATAGAACCTCTTAGCCTCAGAACTACATCATCCTCCAAGGATATCTAATCTGGCCACCTAATAGAACTCCAATGTCATTTCTGCCTGATTACCTGCCCGCCCACACATAACATAATAATCCCCCCCGTTCCTTGCCCCCTTCAGCAGCTGCTCCCACGAGTCAGGTATGCGGTCTGAGACCGCAAGCCTGACAGTTATTTCCACTCGCCTACAAAGCATTTCCACTCACCAATTGCGAGCAGGCGAGTGGAAATTTTGAGCCCTGCTCTAGAAAATATATAAGCACTATGTACATTTTTGTTGCTGTTGTTCTACATGTGACATTGTATACATTGCAAATTGTTCATGCTACTAATGCTAAAAATAACTATTTTTTTTTTTGCAGCTGGTGGAGCTCTGCCTTCCATCCTCCAGCAAGCTCCACTGCCTGTTGTTGCCCATGCGACCTGCTCTACCAGCTCTTATTGGGGCAGCACTGTGAAAACAAGCATGGTGTGCGCTGGTGGCAATGGGGCTCAGGCTGGCTGCAATGTAAGTATAAGGCTGGCCATTAATGTCTCAATCCCACCCTTGAACCAAAGCCAATTTGCCAAACAAGCCATGGCTAGGCTGCTGAAAGGTATCCTTAAAGGAGAACTATGGGGTCAGGGCTTTTCCCCATAGTTCTCCTAAGGGTAACGGTAGGACACAAACTAGCGTCCTCCCGTCACCCAAAGCTCAGTATACCGCGAGCTACTGCTCGCGGTATACTGAGACGCCGCAGCTGAAACGGATCCCGACAATTATGTCTGGATCCACCCAGCTGCATGAGTGACAGCTGGCTCTGCCTATCTAGAGGCAGAGCCAGCTGTACCTGCCCCCTACCCTGTCCGTTCCGCCAGTCAGCGCTGGAGGATCGGACAGGGGAGGGGGGAATCCAGTCCCTCCCCTGTCACGGTTCTCTGCAGTGACAGGATCTAGAAGTGAGCGAGCGCCGGTAGGTGTTTGCTCACTTCCCGATCCATTGAGCCGACCTGTGACAGTTTCATTGTCACAGGTCGGCTAGAACTATGAGGATGAGTGACAATCACTCACCTCATAGTTCTCCTTTAAGAAGTGATAAAAAGTGATTACAACTTTGGAAGCGCTCATTATTGTTTGTATTCAAACCAGGTGAAAAATCTCCTTGTAACCTGCCCTTTGGGTGAAGGTGAAAAAGTAAAGGAAGGTGTTCCAGCTAGGGTTGCCACCTGTCCAGGATTCACCCGGACAGTCCGGGTTTTGAATGCTGTGTCCAGGTTTCATGGCAGCAGAAACCCGGACACAAGATGTCAGGCCGACAGGGGCAACCAAAATTAAGATCGGTGCTACTGGCCTCCCACTGAAAATAGTCTCAAGTGGGATATTTACATATGAATGGGCGGCACTATTCATATATGAATAAGCCACCACTCATTCTCCCAAAAAAATGTCAGCGCGTCGCTAGAGTGTTCGGGTTTCGCTTGAAGAAAAGGTGGCAACCCTAGTCACAGCCCAAATGAACTTTCAGTTTAAATCAGCTGAATACATTCCAGGTGCATCAAAAACAACAGGCATGCAAATTCCTACAGTTTATTTTTTTTAGAAAGCAGCCATAGCCTGAGTAGAAAAGCCTGTCCCCGCCAGGATGCTGCAGAGAAGGACAGTACAGTAGTCTCTCTGGAGAGGACTTACACACCCTTTGCTTAGTCAGAGATAAAGATCTCCAATCAGTGAGCAGCAGGAGCTCTGCTGATTGAATAGCTCTAGCTCTGGTTCAGGAAGGGGTGTGTCAGTTCTCTGCAGAGAGAACACTGCTTCCACACGGAGAGCAAGGGTCCTCCTCTGCAACACCTTTCTAAAGAAAACAAATTGTAAGACTCTGGACACCTATTGTTTTGATGGAGCTATTAACAGCAAGCCATTGACAATTTTTTTAACTAAATAAAATATCAAGCAGACATTAAATCGAACAGTGGCAAAAACAAAAATTGATGTGTGAAACTGTGTGAAACCGTTTTCCAGTATTCTTTTCTGATTTCAGCTCCTTTATATTTTCTCAGGGTGATTCTGGTGGACCTCTGAACTGTGTTGTCAGTGGTGCGTACCAGGTCCATGGTGTCACTAGCTTTGTATCTTCCCTTGGATGCAATGCTTACCTGAAGCCCACAGTGTTTACCAGAGTGTCTGCCTACACCGCCTGGATCAACAGCGTAAGTTTCACTAACCGACACACTATTTACAAGTTACTATTATTTGTATTCTTTGCCAATACTCAGCCTTACACTAAGGTTAGTTATAGACTGGTAGTTTTTTTTTTTCTTTAAGTCCCATGGGGCTATTGTATTCTGATGCCTGCCCAAACCCTATTAGACAAGTTGATTGTTGTTGAGCACAGTGGTGCCAACATGGCCAAACAGCTCAAATTTTGTGCAAGTCATCAGGACTTTAGCATCAGCATCCTTAACATTTACTGTAGCTGCTCTTCTTATTTCAGATTGCATTTTACTTTGCGCTTTAGATATGAGTTGAGTTTCCTTATTGTTTACTTTGCTCATCTTACTGAAATGTCATTTTGTGTGTGTTTTTTAAAACAATAAAAAAGGGGGAGTAAACATAAGCATTTGAAAAATTAGGTACAAAACATTTTGCAAAACACACACTAAAAGAAAACCAAAATTTAACCAAAATTTACTACATTCCCAAAACACTGTGCTGTAAGAGTCTAGCCCAGCAATCCTTGCATGTCTCAGCCCAAGTGATCAAAAACATTCAAATTTAACATTAAACTCCACAATGCATTGCTTCACTAACTGTCAAGCATGCACCCAATATATCACAGTTCAAAAGAAATCCAAGAAGAATTATTAAGCTGGTCTTGGGGAAGGAGGTGTAATGCATATGCTATACTTTGCTAAGTAGCATGCCTCAGCAGATACAGTCCTTTACACTCTCAGCCCCCCATGCTTCCAGTCTATGTGCCTTTCTGTGGTGTTATGGATAGCTAGGAATTCGCACAGACTTCTATAGGACAAATTAAGTTAATCCAAATGTTGCAGTGCAGTACAAAGACCATAGGTGTGTGGGCAGGAAGAATGCAGCAAGGAAAGACACGTTTTAAACATTCTTTAATACACAGTGTGACAATATCTGAGTCTACTTAAATCATCCAATATTCTCTTTCTTTTAGAACCTGTAAGAATATCATTGCAAAAACTGGTATATGAACATATCTGAAAACATACTTGAAGAAGAAAATATTGAAATAATCTTTGCGAAACCAATTATGTAATAAAAGATATTTTTTGCATCCTTAACTTGTGTTGATTCAGCATTTTATTATAAACGTTTTACATTACCTACAGTATAATACATACTATACATGTTTATGGTAAGTTAAATCTGTGATTTAACTTACCATGAATCACACTCTGTGTCATGTAAGCATTGTCCCCTCCTTCCTATAAGAAAGAAAAAGTTCATAGCGATAGATTCAATTTTGAGAATAGAAGATTGGCACCCTATTGTCCCTTCAAACTCACCCTCCCTAGAGCCCAAAACATCATAATAACACTCTCTGCACCCCCACACTTCACACTAAACCTTTCTGGAGAACCAACCCTCCCTGGAGCTGCAACCCTTACACTAACCTTCACTAAGACCTCAATCCTCACACCTTAGCCATCACACTAAACCTGCCTAAAACCCCAACCATCACACTACTTCCGTCCTGGAAACCCAACCCTGTATATCAAAAATGGAACCCAGCCCTCACACTAAATCTCTCTGGAACCCCAATCATCACAAAAACCTCTCTGGAACCTTAACATAAACCCTTATACTTATTCTCCCTGAAGTCACAACCTTCCCTGGAGTCCAGCCTCCCTGAAACCACAATAATCACACTAACCTTCCCTGGAGCTCCAATCCTCACACTACCCTTCCTCTAACCTCAATCCTCACAATAACCCTCCCTGGAACTCCAACCCTCAAACTAACTCTCCCTGGAACCCCAGCCCTCACACTAACCCTCCTTGGAACACCAGCCCTCACACAAACCGTCCCTGGCATCCCAACTCTCACACTAAACCTCCATGGAGCCCTAACCCCCTCATACTAATGCTCACTGGATCCCCAACCCTCACGATTGCCCTTCATGGAGCCTTAAAATGTATTTCTACCTTTGCAGTCACATGGAAATAACACCTACATTACACCTGTTACATGTTTCCCTTCATATAGAATAACGCAAAAAAAATGTTGCATACCTTTTTAAATGCTTTTTGCTGAAAACTCCAGGACTGAAATATCCTGCTTAGTTCACCCTGTTTATGAGGTAGCTGAGCAATTGTATTTGCCATAAATAACAATTTCTCATGATCAATGGAACCCCAAACCTCACAGTGACCCTTCCTGGAGCCTTAACCCTCTCATTAACTTTCCTTGGAACCCCAACCCTAACACTAACCCTCCTTACAATCACAAATCTCACTTTAACCCTACTTGGAACCCTAACACATATATACAGCATTACTGTGACCAAACCAAAATCCTAGCATAATTTAATCCCCTCTTGTCTATAACGGGGTCCTCAGTGCTGGCTAACATTACTGCTCTGAAAGATATCAATGGCAAAGTCCTAGCACCAGAATCCCCTGCTTAGCTTCATAACCTTTCTCCTGGTGTGTAAAGTGGCAAAGCAGCAATTTCCACGAAATGTAACAGTTGTGGCAAAGGGTGGGGCTTTGTTCAAGATTCCATGAATTATTGAGAATCTCTCTCTCTCCAGCTGCTTTTATTAGTGATTATGTGACTGAAACAATTCTGTGTAATGAAAGTCTTTTATACAGGAGGCCAGCAGCAAAGGCAGAGATTTATATAGTGCCAATAGTTTGCACAGCACTTTAGAATATAAGGAAGACATTACAATTAAAATACAATTCAAGACAAGATGGTAAGGAGGGTGCTGCCCATGAGAGCTTACAATCTAAAAGGTCGTGGAAATTATACATGAGGAGGTAGCTGTGTGGGGTTGAATTGTTTGAGCAAGTGATAGTCCACAGGTTAGTTGGTGGCGGGATAGGCTTCCCTGAAGAGATGAGTCTTTAGGGATAGCCTAAAGGCAGTCAGAGGAGGAGATAAATGGACAGGTTGGGGTAAGGAGTTCCAGAGGATGGGAGAGACTTTAGAGAAGCCCTGGAGGAGAGCATGGGAGGAGTTGACGAGGGAGCTAGAGAGCAGGAGAACTTTGGAAGGGCAGAGGGGACAGTTAGGGTGATCATTTGAGACAAGGTTGGCGATATATCCAGGGGCAGATTTGTGGATGGCTTTGTATCTGGATGTTAATATTTTGAATCTTATCCTTTTGGCGACTGGAAGGGATTGGCAGAGGTGGGTTGCAGTCACTGAGTGACTGAGTGGTTAGTTGGTTGGTTGGGATCCTTTAAATATTGAATCCTAAATGGCACTTTGGCGAAAATGTATCATCCTGTACACCCACAAGCACATGGAGTTGAATTATTGTGCTAAATGAAGGTCCAGCAGTGAAAGGAAATTTGTTGGTCTATGAGTCTACATGCATTTTGTGTCATATGAACTAAAGCATTGCCTTGCTTATCGCATCAACTATTTTGAGAGACTTCACCTGTCCAGAATATCTTGAATTAAATATTTTGGCATATTAAACACCTCCTTATGGTTTTGCATGATTTGTCCCTTTTTTGTCCCACTTATTGTCATACTTTACAAGCAATGCTACTAATTGATTGACAATACTGCATTATTATGGCAATGCACTGTCCAGGGGAATATGACTTGTTACTTTTGTATAATAAACCCCGGTTGTACATAGTGTAGGGTCTGAATGTGGTCTAGACTTTGGTGCTGCTTTTAAGGTGACAATGTTGCCATTTTTATCTGGTGGTAGTTGTTGTATGTCTATCTATATTGTAGCACCCTACTGGAAAGAGTGCTATTAAATTTAATAATAATCAGATTGTATGTGGTCTGATGCTGATTCATACTACAGTTTGTGCCCTGGTCACAGAACAGAGCAACCAATGAGGGATTGCTATGAGTGGATATCCCTCTCCAGCCAATCACTGTTAGACGATGGCCAGTGGTGCATGCTGGGGGAGGAGATAAATATTTGGAGTGGACCATGTGAGCTCTCTCTTCCTCCCCTGGGCCCAGCCTGTGGGGAGGCTACCATGGATTGTCTAAGATGGCTAGGCCTGAAGCCTGGGGACTAGCCATGTGATGACCTTGTAGCCTGATAGCAGAAGGTCCAGTGGTTACTATTGAAGACAAGAACTAGTAACTTCTACTTCAAGTAGTGCTGTGCTAGGTGTTCGACCTGCTGTGCATGGAGACAGTAACCAAACTCTGCAGTGCAATGGAGTCTACATCCGCCTGGATGATCCTAACCCTCCACCTCTCTCCCGGAAGTTCTGCAATAAAAGTTTCAAGCATCATATCTACAGTCTGGACATCACTTCAATCGATCACCAGAAAGGGTGGTTAGTGCTGATGGACGATGCAAGATAATTTATCCCTAGACAAGAACATTTCGGAGTTGCCGTAACCCATAGTAACTGACCATAGTACTCAAGGTGTGCTGTGGATCCTTAATAGAGGTTTCTTACAGAGGAAATACAGGGAGACCCGTTAATTAATTTACTGTACATAACCCCTTAGGAGCCACCAGTAGTGTTATCCTGTGCTGGGATATCGCTGACCGAGTAAGGGGGACGTTACAATATTACTAAATTACTTATTTTTATTTATTATTAAGAAATAAATAAAATGTTTTACTTTCAAACCACATTAGCCCATGCTGTAACCGCTTTTGGACCACTTTTTAAGTCATTAGTTTTTTATAAGATTGCTCTCTGTAAGTCTAGATTGGTGAATATTTCAGCTATGCAAAGTCTTTCTAGCAGGGCTGCCCCCGGACTGCAAGAGATAACTGCTCATTTTTCTCTAAGGGTGAAACTATAGAAGAAATACTCATCCAATCCTTGGTCCTGCGGAGTGACCATTCTCCTTTTTTTCGTCTGCTCTGGCTGTGGTATGTCTCTCGGCGTCTTTACGTCTAATATGCTGTATCAGATGTGTTGATGTCACAGATCCTTAGACTGCCGGAACCTAGGGGAGAGGAGGCTGCGGGTACCAGTCTAGCAGCTAGGCAGTACTGAGAATTGAGTGAGTATATCTTCTTTATTTTAGCTCCCTAGATAAAATGAGCAGTTGACTTTTGCAGTGCAGGGGGCAGTCCCACTGCAAGCACTAACTTTTCAAATTTCTGGAGTTCTGCATGAATTGAAATTTGTACGAATTTCTGTAAATTTGAACGCATCCAAATTTCCCAATGACAGAAATAACGTCTAATTTGATTGTATCCGAAATTTGGATACATCATAAATTTCATTCAGAACGAAACACAGAAGCGAGAGAGCTGTCATTTACCACTCTCTGGCTTCTCTGAGAGTTGTGTTTTATTCTGTAACAGCTTCTGCTTCATTGCTGACCAAGAATCTGACAGCTGTCACAGAATACACTAAAGTGTTAAACAGTCCACAGAAATAATAATTTAAAAAAAACAGTGTGCTGTCCCCATGGCAACACATACCAAACCCTTTAGGTCTGGCAGGAATTTTAAGGGAGACCCCAACGCTAAAAAAAAAATGTCCCACGATGTCAATCCCGAGTCCACCGTAATGTACAGATCCTGCAAATCCCACTGAGACCCGGCAAAGCCCCCCATTAGATCCTGCAGAGACTCCCTAAGACCCTGCTGTCTGCCGGATCTCAGGGGGGCTGTGCACGATCAGTGGTGGGCTTTGCAGGCTGCAGAGCCCCCTGCGGATCCTGCAAAGCCCCCTACAGATCCTGCAGAGACCCCCTGAGACCCTGCAGTCTGCCGGATCTCAGTGGGGCTGTGCACGATCTGTAGTGGGCTTTGCAGGCTGCAGAGCCCCCTACGGATCCTGCAAAGCCCCTCCCCCAGATCCTGCAGAAACCCCCTGAGACCCTGCAGTCTGGCATAGACTGAACAGGTGGATTAGACCACGCTTTGTAACAGGAAACACTTTGCCACCTGTCAGGTGTGTTTCCTGTAAATTATAAAACAATATAAGGCCTATGGGATCTAATATACTGAAAAACAAGTGAGTGTTCGTTTGGAATTTAAACCCCAAACATTCCAGGAGAGTGAGGTGAAGGTTTGCAAGACATATGGGAATACCCAAGGCTATAGTGAGCTTTGCCATCTAACAATATTAAACCATATCTCCTTTATTTGGAAGGACTGACCCTCATTTGGAACCAAATCCCGTTGTCTCTCTTATATCCTCAGTTGTCCCTCTGTTTTTGTCTGTATGTACAGATATCTATGAAAAGGTACTATCTAAAGTGCTATTGTGTAATAAAACTTTTCAAAAGTCACTATAAAGGAAAAGTAATGGTGAACAAAGACAATTTGGGGTTTAACAAATCACTTTTGGCAAATAAATTCTTAATGGTCCATATAACTGGGGGCATTACAGGGGTGAGTCCATTGCCTAAATACATTGTGCTGGAAGGAGTCCCTCTTTCTCATCTCACAATGTTGGGAGGCATGTTCATGTAAAGTATTAATGCCACTGTGATCAGACTACAGATATAGAGCTCCCTCTAGTGATCAGAAATAAAATTGAAGAGTTGCATTTGTTTCACAAGACATTACAAAGCAGTCAAGAACAGAAAAAAGAGCAGTAAGGGTTCTTTCTCATGTGCATTGAGAATTTATTGAAAGAGCAATGCTACATAACACACCTATAGTGTCAACAAGGAATTCGGCAGGCATTTTCAAGACATTAGGGAGGCATCAAAAATGCTTGCTAAATTCCCTCTAAGTAGGGGAGTGTGTTAAAGGGCGAAGTGATGTAGAAAAGGGAAGTAACCAGCAGTG